CCTGCCCTACCCCCGCCTCACTTTGGCTCGGCCGGCCACCTCCCCACCTCGACGCGACCCGCCGCCCCTTGGTGGCCGGCTCCCATAACACACAGGCGGCGACCCTACTGCAGACTCTAGAGAAGTTGACTGGCAACGTCAAGACAATGGCGCCCACTGGAGAAACTCCTTCTGGATCGAGAGGCGGCAGGACCAAGACCAAGAGTGTGCGCAAGCTTATGGAGTCGCCGTTAGGCACGCCACCGCTTCTTCCTTGTCCAGGTACTGAGGAATTCATAGCTAGCAAATTCTAGAGACCTTAACTAGCTTACCTCAACATGAATCTAGTAATTTCTATTTCTATTGAGAAAACTATGATATGTAACCAAAAAAAGAACCAAGGCAGTCGGTATCACCTTCTAGAGCTGAGTACTCTTGATAGCAAGTACAACTAAACAAGTATCTGAGCTGGCTTGTAGATTCAGCATCTATAGCATACCCCTAAAGATTCCCGTAGCATGAGTTTCAACTGATAGACAGATGTGGAACCAGAGACTTTCAAACTGATTGAATTCCTAGAGCTTGTCCTCTTGGAACGCTTTGAAATCCGACGATCTGATACAGGAACATCTTTAGATGCTTCTTTGATAGACTTTGGTGCTGTCCTTGAGGTTCTTGGCCCATAATCCTTCTCGATCTTGACCTGATCTCTCACAAGTCTACCTAGCCATCATCCTCGAGTACCTTGACGCCGTCCTTGAGGTTCTTGGCCCTATCCTTCTCGATCTCGAATGTGTGCTGCTTTTGTTCTTTATATACATTTATAGCATTCTTCGTGGGCTGATGGAATACATGGTTCTTAATAGATCAGATTCCTGCTAATGCATAGTTGTTCCATTTTTTATTTCAAGAATCTTATGTTTACCAATGCCCTTGTGGTTCATATATGTGTTATTTTTTTACTTTCTAAGTTTCAGAGTTTTCAATGAAAATATTTAACGAATTACAGTAGTTGTTAACCGCATAATATGGCGAGTTGATGATTTAGCAATGTTTTCCTTTTTTTCTTATCGGGATCTACAAGTAAAAGGCTTGCATCTCAAAAACCTAGTGCTAGTCCTAGTTCTAGTCGAACTCCTGCACCACCATCGCAAGGGGTTCTTCAACACCAAGTGAAACTAGCATTACAAATGTGGGCACCAAAGTAGCGTAGAAATATAACTCCAATTACAAATCTAGATGTCCAGATCTGAGGTGATGAAGCTACAACTCCAATTACAAATCCAGATGTCCAGATATTGTGGTGATGACCTAGAGGAAGATGAAGAGGATGGCGAAGACCAAGAGCAAGCTCAATGACCGGGCAAGAGGAGGAAGAGGTGCACATCGCTAGATCTGGAAGTACTTTACAAAGAAAGTTGAGGTTGTAGAGGTGAATGGGCGGAAGTATGAGCGGTTGTGGGGATCTTGTAACTTCCCAATATAGTTGGCCACCATGCCGCGTCGACCACGGACGCGGCAACTTGGCCGCCGTTGCGTCTTTGCACACGGCGTCTTGCGTCTTGCAACTACGGCAACTTCGGCATTGCCATCTTCGGCCGTCTTTGCGTGCGATGTAGTGCTGGCCGTGCCATGGGCGAACCTTCGCCCATGACACGGCACATGGGCCGTTTCTCCGTGCCATGTCGCCCATGTGCCACGGCCATTTTGGCCGTCGCATGCCGTGCAACCACGGCCCATCAACAGAAAACACTCAAAATCAACAGAGAAAATTCCAAAGTCTAAGTTCAAAACTTCAAATGATCAAATGTCACAAAATTATAAAGTAGTAAAAAAACGAGCAGTGAGAAGATATAATGAAAATGATTATCAAAAGTCAAAAGAGTCACATTGTGCAATCTTTGCCTCATTAAAAACCTTTCTAGGTAAAACTCACCCTTGTGAGAAACCCTAGAAAGGAAAAAGTACTGACTAGCTCAAGTAGTCAAGTCTTAGTTCAAGCACAAGTCTAAGTAGTTCATCCTATTACAATAGCCAACATCGATCGGTGGCGGTGGCCGGTGACCGGTGACAAATGTTCTTCTATCCTATTACAAAAGCCCAACAGTGGCATTGTGGCAACAAGAAGACAAATGTCCTTACTTCATCACTTCATGCTTCAAGCTTCATCATGGTGAATCAGCCTGGCAGCCACTCCCAAAAGTGCAATCAACCTGCAAAAATGGATCATGATGGATTGATGGTCATGGACTTGAAGATGTAATGTAAACAAGCTAATGGAACAAGTTTTAGAATTTCAGTGTACTCTACCTCTCCTTTTGTAGAGGTTCTCTTCTTCTTCTATCCCGACCAAAGACACCAGTGATACCATTGCTTGCCGCCCGCTTCCGCTCGCTTCTTCGCCTTCATCCGGTACAAGTTGTCGAACAGCTCCTCCAGTGCCGTGTCCTCAGGTGCATGTTGTTCCTTCCTTGCTGCTTGATCCCAGTCCTTGATGCAGGTGAGCATCTCCACATGCTCAGGCAACAAGCGCCGCCGCCGGTCTTCAAGTATCCTTGCTGTACAGCTGAAACAAGACTCGGAGGACACAGTAGATACAGGAACAGACATGATATCGCGAGCCATTATCGATAAGATGGGGTAGGTCAGCTTGTGGTCACGCCACCACAACAGGATGTCAAAGGACTCCCCCAATCAGTGACAGGATCACTGTCCAAGTAAGCTATCAGCTCATTGACACCAGATGTAGAGGATGAAGTGGGGGAACAGCTAGAGGAGGAAGCACCAGGACCACAATAGATCTTTCCCCATGCATGCTTCCTTTTTCCTGAAGGAGCACTAGGCATAGGAGGCCTTTGAGACCGAGCTGCACCATATCTCTGCTCATACTTGCTAAGCATGATCGGTCATGGACTCTTTCACATCACCATAGTAAACACCATAAGGGGTACCGATCTGTTTAGCAAGTAACTCAAGCACATTAAAGAAGCCTTTCATCTTAGCTCTTGGATCAAGAATGAATGCATAAGAATACAGCAATGGGATGTCCCCCCAGTACTTAAGGAACTTAAGTTTCATAGGAGATGCAATACTTCTAAATCCAGGATCAAGTTCAGCTTTATGCAAATGCTCAGCAAAGTCAAGGATATGATGCATCATAAGTGGAGCAGTTGGATAGTAAACACCAGACAAAGCAACAGTTGCATCATAAAACATCTCCAGGAACTTCATAATCGATCGTGACATACCGGTCTTTGGGAGTCACAGATTGCTCACCATAATTTGACTCAATCCACACAGAAAACACATCTCTATATGGCAGCAAGTGTTTAAGCATCAGATAGGTGGAATTCCATCTAACATCCATATCCAATCCAAACTTTCTAGGTCTGACACCCCTAGCAATGCAATAGTTCTTAAACAATGCAATTCTTTGATTAGATGAATTCAAAAGGTTGATTGCAGTCCTAAAAGCTTCAAGATAAGGACTGAACCTCTTCAAGCCAGACTTAACAATCAGGTTAATGATATGGCATGCAATGACAGCGCTGATGCACAAGCAAGTACTTGACTTTGTGAGGATCTTCCTTAGTAGGTGTTGGGTAAGAGCCCAGGTAACCAAACAACATAGGTTGCAAGATATCAAAAGCCTTAGAATTAGCAGAAGCATTATCAAGACTCACAGCAAAGACCTTATCAATCAAACCAAACTCCTCAACCACACTACAAATTTTCTCAACAATGTTGTCACCAGTATGTGCTGCCTCAATCAGCCTAAACCCTATAACCTTTTTATGCAACTCCCAATCAGCACCAACATAATGAGCAACAACAGAGACATAATCTTCCTTAGCATTACCGGACTCAGATATCGAGATGTTATGGGAAGCAGATGAACAGCAGCAAAGAGCAAAGAATGCATAAGCAAAGCACGCTCTTGACAAACAACTTATGCATGTCCCTAGTAGTGGATACGCCTAGAAACCTTCTGAAAGCGAGGATTATGAGCATTCGAATGTAATCTTCCCAGCACGTGTGTCACCAACACCTAATGGAAGATCCGGCCTAGCAATCAACCCAGCACTGACTCATTACGAGCACGAAGCGACATCATAAACCCAGTTATGCAACCCATTAGCATTCATAGAAAGCCTAGACTGAACCCTACGATCATTGTCCTGCTTCTTCCTACATGTTGCCATGTGCCTATTCAAGGATCCAGTGCCAATATTGGCCCTAGCAACAAATTTCTTACCACACCGTTTACAGATGGCATGAGTTCTAATCTTCCCTGACTCATCAAAGATCGGGACGAAGTCCTCCCAACAAGCAGCATCCAAGCAGAGAACATGCTAGGGTTAGGGTTTTGACTGACCTACGCCACCGGAGCCAGTCTGGGAGAAGAAGCCAAGGAGCCAAGATCCAAGAGAGAACGACGAGACAAGCACCCACAGTTAGACCGTGGCGTCACGGCGAGTGGCGGCGGAAGAATATACAGCTCAACGACTCACATGGTACACCGGAGGAGGAGGAGGACTGGAGGAGGTACGAGAGGGAGAAGGAGGGCCTGCGTGGTCAAGTCGAACGGCGGTGGCGGATCGGATCGGATCGAGTTCGTCTCGACTTCGAATCGAGACTCGAGAGCGAGAGTGGAGGGAGAGCTGCGGCCTGCGGCTGCACGGAGGGAGGAGAAGAAGTGGCCGGCGAGGTGAGGTGTCGAGGTCACCGGAGCAGGCGGGCCGTGAGCTCAAGGCTTAACGACGGCGGCGGATCGAGTTCGAGAGGTCGAGCGAGGGGGCTGCAGTGCACGGAGGCGGAGGGCAAAAGAATTAGGGTTAGGGATTTGGGGGGGGGGGGCTGCGGCTGCGGCTTATATATGGTAGGGGTGGCGAGGGTGTGGGCGTGGGCCATTTGGGCCAAAAAGAGGCCGTTGGCTGGCTGGCCGTGTAAAGCCCATCTTAAGCCCTCTCCGCCGTGCCGTGCGTGCCGTCTTGCCGTGTCATGGGCAGGCTGCGCGGCCCATGCATGCCGACAGACCTCCGTCTGCGCTTGCACGCAAGACGGCACGCAGTGGTGGCCGTGTGCCGTGCTGCGCCCATGGGCCGTGCCAAAAGGCCGTGCCGCGTGCCGTGCCACCGGCCCATGGGCCGCCTGGCCATATATACTTCCCAAAGTGCAAGCAAAGGTACAGAGCTGAAGGAAACCATGGGACAACTGGGTTTAAGAACCATTTGAAGTCGCAACGCAGTATTGTAAAAGGACACCAACAGCTCAAAGTTGGTAAGGACCCTGGTACTAAAATTACTCATGTTCAGCCCTACAAATATGACCAAGAAGTTAGTTTGCAGAAATTAAATTTGGCAATAACCATGCATGAATATCCTTTCAACATAGTTGAACATGAGTATCTTGTTGATTTCATAAAGTCTCTCCGTCCTAATTTTCCGATTAAGTCATGTATCACTGTTAGGAAAGAAATAATGGATAAATATTTGGAAGAGAAGGAAGTTTTGTATGCGTACTTGAAAACTATGCAGTGCCGCTTTAGTGCAACCATGGATATGTGGACCTCATGCCAAAACAAAGGATACATGTGTGTCACAATTCACTGGGTAGATGATGAGTGGCGTATGCAGAAGAGAATTATTGGTTTTTTCAATGTGAAAGGAAGGCATACCGGTGCAAAGCTGTCAGAAACATTTACTGAAGTTATGGTTAATTGGTACATTGAGAAGAGATTGTTTGCCTTGACTTTAGATAATGCTAGTTCCAATGAAGTGGCTGTTCATGATATAATTTCAGATCTGAAAGATAATGATAATGGCTCTCTAGTTTGTGATGGGATCTTTTTTCATGTTAGATGTGCCTGTCGTATCCTCAATTTGGTTGCTAGAGATGGGTTGAAAGCAATTTCAGCAACAATTACCAAAATCAAATCACTTGTGTTAGCTGTGAAAGGATCTCCATTACAATGGGAAATGCTTTTGAAGTGTGCCACTGAATCTGGATTGGACACAAAGAGGGGTATCTCAATGGATGTGTCGACTAGGTGGAATTCTACCTATCTCATGCTAAGAGATGCTTTGTACTACAAGCATGCTTTTGTGAGGCTGAAGTCTGCAAATCATCGTAGGTATGACAAAATGTCTCCCTCACCTGCTGAATGGGACAAGGCATTTACACTTTATCAATGCTTGAAGAAATTTTATGACCTCACTAAAATTCTGTCCGGTACTTCATATCCTACTGCAAATTTGTTTTACAAAGGTTTCTGTGATATAAAACTCATGCTTGATGAATGGTGCTTTAGTGATGATGCCACAATTAGTGCAATGGCAATTGCAATGAATGAAAAGTTTGAGAAATATTGGCAGCAGTCCAACATTGCGCTTGCTGTAGATTGTTTTCTTGATCCTAGATATAAGAAAAAGCTTATTGAATACTACATGAGGAAGTTCTATGGTGATGAGTATCAAGTTAAACTTGATGAGTTTGTTAGTGTGATAAAGAAGTTGTATCAGTTTTATGCTAGTTCGGCTAATGCAACATCAAAGAAGAAAAGTAGCAGAAACCGGACCTAGTAATGCAGCAGATATAATAATGGGGATGTAGATGAAGACCTTGAAAACTTCTTATATTACGCAAGTGAACCTGGTATGGTTGAGTCAAATGAGTTGGAGAAGTACATGGCGAACCTCTTCGTAAAATTATTGGTGAGTTTGACATCTTAGCTTGGTGGAAGAACAAGAGGAAGACTATCCTATCATTACACAGATTGTTCGTGATGTGATGGCCATACAAGTATCATTGTTGCATCCGAAGTCTGCTTTTAGTGCTGTCTTTGGTCGTGTTGTTGATCCCCATCAGAATCGCCTTGACCACGAGATTGTAGAGGCATTGATTTGCACCAAAGATTGGGTAGGCTGCTGACAAGAAAAGGTGATGATCTCAGATTACATACATACTTTTTAGTTACAAACTTATATTTGCACTTGAAAAATGGGTGATTTCATATCTTTCTTTTTGTATTCAGATTCTAAATATGTTGGATCAATTGTGAGTGATCTTGAAGTGGAGGCATTGTTCACTCGCAATGGCTAATAAGCTTAAGCTTGAGGTATATTTTCATTTGGTCATTTTAGATTATGCATATCTTTTCTTGGTTGTTAGTCCTTTCATTGATCCTTCTTTTTATTATAATTGCTTTTCTTCACAATGGCAACTTGTCAACTTGGCAGAGGAAGAAATCAATGAGGGAATGAAGAGGAAAGCGAGGAACTAGAAGACATGGGAAGTGTCTTTGAAATATAACTCTGTTGGCTAGCCCAAATGTCTCTAAATATTTAGACATGTTGCCTATTTATCAATTGTCATGGTGAATTGGTGATTTGTGTATCAATGTATGTGTACAAGTGAATTGTGCATGACCATGTGTGGTTGTGTTTGCATGCATTTGTTGGCATGTTGTCATGCTCAACTAAGTTCTCTGACCCGAAGTGTTTCCGTTTTGCTTTTCGTATTCCGACCGTGTTCGACATGTTCCCGATCGAATTAGTTCGTTTTCGATATCCCGTTAGTTCGTTTTCGTGTTCGTTTCCGACCTTCCCGAATTCAATTTCGTTTTCGTATTGAAATGTAAAAGTGAAAACAGTATTGGGGTTATCCCGACCGAGTTCGACCACTTTCAACATAGTGCGCCGCGTCCAGCCCTGCAAGGAGAGGGCTTATCTGAGCTTTGACTTCAAGGGAGACACTGACGGCACCCGGGAGAGGACGGAGAGACTGATGAAGGAGGCTGTGCTACACCGGGCCGCTGAACTATTCGCTCCAAACATGTCGTTCAACGTGCCAGGACAGTCAAGAGCCTTCAACTGCATGAACCCACCTCCTCAAGTAAAAATCTGGACTGTTGTTCCTAGTGCTTTTTATCCCGTGCTAGCGTCGAGCAGTGGACTGATTCGCTTGTGGAAAGATCCATTTGCAGGAATGGGCGGCGTACTTCTCGGGCGTGCCGAGGAGCGGTTGGCCAAAGGTAGTGGACGCCAGGCCGACCACTCAACCAGAGGATGGTGTCGTCAATACCTCATTCGAATCCAGAGGCGCAGGTGCTGGTCGGAAGGAGAGTCCCCCCTCGGTGCTGGAGAAGGTTCGGGGTAAAAAGACGACGATAGATGAGCCGGTCGGAAAGAAGAGAAGAATGGTTGATGTAGCTCCCCGTAAGCCGGGCGACATCTCACTTGGTGGTGATCGGGCGACTTAGACGCAGAGTGCAGCGGTGTCCGAGTGGTCGAACGATGACGAGGCTCCAATAGCCCCCCTCCGAGCACTAAAGCGTCATCGCGCCACACGCGCGCGGTGGTGTAGTCGAAGGGAGGGGAAGGAGTCCCAGAGCGGCAGGCAGAGGAGACGCCAACGGCGGGGGCCACAAGACCTCCAGTTCAGGACATGCGGGTTGACCCCAGAGCAGTGCCTAGGTGCTCGGGAAGGCAGCGTCGATTCAGAACCATCTATCGGGAAGCTGACGTGTAAGTATGTTTGCCTTGAGATCGATAGCTATCCGGTTTTAGTAGTTACGGTGATTGATGAGCTGATCTGATACAGGACGGGGCACGCGGAGGATCTGAATCCTTCCGGCTAGACTGGCGAGCAGCCGGGGGCTATTCCCAGCACAGAGACCATGCCAGCGGACTCCGCCCTAGAGTCCCCGGGCGCTCGGCGGTTTGTGGAGGAGTCGACCACCGCTGCAGATGGAGTTGAAGGCGGAGAGCAGTTGGCGACGATGGCAGGCGAGTCGGCGGAGACGCCGTGTGGCAGATCCGTCCGAAATAACACACTTACGAAGGCGCTTGTCTTCCACTAACACTAACCACCCCGAGAGTGAGCTACGTCGGGCAGGTTCCATCGAGCACACCCCAAGGGAGAGCCTGAATAATCCACATTTTTTTCCCAAGGATCCAATAATGAGAACGAGTTATAATACTTAGTACATTTCATACATCCAGAGTTCTTAGAAATGTATTATTACATTACCAAATTAAGAGTGTGGAATATTAAATAATGGAATGAAAATACACATCTATCGATAAAAAATAAGGATCCGTCTGTGCCTAGCAGAAGAATCCTTCACACAACGGCTACTCCTCAAGCATTACCTGCAACAGGGGTAAATAAACCATGAGTACACAATGTACTCGCAAGTCTTATCCGACTAGTGGGAATACTTTCCTGACTCCAAGGGATATGATAAGTTTTATGCTTTGCTAGATTTCTTTTTGCAGAAAGCAATGCTAATAGTGAATCCTTATTTATGTTATTATTAGCAGTCATGATTAATTCATTATCTAGGCATTCTATGTAAGCACCTGTCCTACTTTCAAGCAAAGGTTGAGCAATCAGATCCATTTCATCTCCTTTCATCTTTTAGTTCTTACTACGGTGCTAGACTGTAGACAAGCCGTACCGGATTGCCCGGCAATTCGCGAATCAATGTACCCATCTGGGTACCCCAAAAACACACGCCCAGCTTGTACCCTAGGCATAAGCAGGACCAGCCCACCACTCTCCTGTCACGGGGTCCAGGTGCCCATCCAAACTTGGACTCCAAGCCCCTGCTCCTGAGTCTTAGACTCAGTGCGGTGCTTAGACCTCCACTATCCCCGCCTCCGATCAGTCGGTCCAGAAAGAGCCATAACGCACGACAAGAGAGCAAGAAGCCTTCTCTACGCCCATACCCAAGTATGTGCTCGGGATAATAAGTCTATGACTTGCCTAGAACCCAATGTAACAGTCGGTCCTTAACCGACACAAACAGGGAAAAAGTGTAACCAAACTATGCCCTGTTGGCCACAGGACACAACCTCTTACACCCACCAATACCCAAACCACATCCCTGTCTGGTCTCCATTTTTCCTTTCCACCATTTTATCACGAGTGATCATAATTATCACCTATTGTGAGTAACGGTAGATTACCCACGCTACCGAAATCCTAAGCATAGCAGCTACTCGATCTATACTAATAGGACTCATAGGTAAGTATATCTATGCATGTAGTTTTCATAAAATGTCTGTAACGTAAATGTGCATCATATATATATATTCAATGATCATTCTAAAATAGGGGTTATGCATCGAGGCTTGCCTTGGGCTGGCGGGGTGTCAACAAAGTCAGCAACGAACGGCTTCGGGGCTTCCTCCTATACGAGAATCTCTTCCTCGTACCCCTTAATGATCTCCTTGAACTCCTATTCGCCCGCAGGAACAAACTCTACCAATTCGTTATCTACATGCATGAAATGATGATGCAACACTTAATAATACGGCAACAGCAACTCTTGACATAAAATACCTATGTCAAGCTACTAAACTAGCTCTACTGACTAAGACGCTATGTTACCTATCATTCCCACTAAACTGGTATGAAACATTTCATGTATTAACTTAGCAACTAAAGGAATCCCTATTCTTAATATCGATTTACTCTATATATGATAAAACAAGGAGTACTAGCTATTCTATTTATCAACCTACTCTAGGACTACAAAAATTATAGCGAGCACATAATAATCTAATGAGCCTACTGTAAAAATTTCATGGCTAATGCTATCACCAATTTGCCACAAGAATTCCTACAAATATTAAGCTAAATAATACTAAGCTTTCTAAAGTGAATTTATGAATCTATCATTATCATAGCTAACTATAAACTAACTACACCAACAGATAGATAGCATTTTTGTGAACCTAACAAATTTTGTTTCACTATTTTTGGACGCCTACAGAATTTACTATAATTTTACAAAGATCAACTCAAAACTAAATTGAATAAATATTTATTAATTCACTAGAAAAAGGAAAACCGAACCCACCCGCGCGGCCCACTGCGCGAGCGGCTCGGCCCACTCCGACGACTCACGCGCGCGTGCACTGTGACCCACCAGCGTGGCCCACGCTGACGTGGCCCATCCGCGCGACGACGGCCCACGACGGGGAGGCCCGCATGCGCCGATACATTTGCTAAAACGTCCTCGCTTTACTACCGAATCCAATCGAGGCCCATATCACTATTCCTTCAGTCAGCTATCTTGCAAATACGCCCCTCCCCCTTTCCTTCTTTACCACGGCTGGGTCCCCCGGGCACTCGCGCACGCACCGGCACGGCGGCGCTGGCACCGGGCAGTCACGCCGGCTAGAGCAGCCCCTCCCCGCCCCTAGTAGCAAGCCGATGCTCACCTAGAGGCCAATTTGATGCGGTAGGCGGTGAAGCGGTGAATGGAGATGCTATCCCAAGGTCCCTCCATGACGGCGGACCTCCTACAGCGGTGACGGTCGTGTTCCCATGAGACAAGGCGAAGATGAAATGATAGGACTAGAGGCTGGGCATCAGCAACTCACCCAGAACCTACCAGACATGATGGCTTGACCGGAGACGGGCCGAGTGAGTCCAGCCACGCGTGCACGACAAACACAGCGACGACCGCAATGGCGCGACTATGTCAGCGGCGCTGGGCAAGCAATGTAGGGCCATTTGGGGTGCGCACGGGATAGAGGGGAACAAGGCGAAGACACAGTGCCAATGATTT